CATGACAAAGTTCATTGGCAAGGTTCACTCTGCTACTTACTAGATGGGCAAGCACAGTGAGAAAAAACAGCAAGAAGAAATCCAGAGTCAATCAATCCAAATCAAAACTAACCAAAATAAATCCAAAACCATCTTTGCGTTGATGGGGGAAAGGGGGGAGGTACAGGAAGAGAGTAAGGGATTCATCTGGGATTTACAATAACATAACAGTAACTTATTTACAGGCCTAACTTACTTACAAGTCTAAAGTAGTTAAGAATCCAGGAGAGCAGCATTTTTCCCACATTGGCTGCAGCATATACACACTTGTGGTATAGGAGACACTATGGTCCAGGAGAGTTCAAAGGTTCTCATTTTGGACTGCTGTTTATAGGGCCTCAAGAGAGTAATCTCTAGTCATAGTCACTTCAGTTTCATCCTGGCCACACTTTGGGTTGGCATCCTTCCTTTCTTTGAAAGTTTGAGAACAAAAATGTCATTTCACTTGGGCTATTACTCAGGCAAAAAAAAATTAAAGGCTGTCCATTAAAAAAAAAAAAAAAAAAGGAATAAGGGCAGGAGATTGTTAGGTATCACAAGTTCCTGAGAACTTGGTGTTTCTGATAAGGTCAAGAGAGGAGCTCTTTCCAGGTACTGTTTGTCAGAGGCTGAGGCCTCACAAGCATTTCCCAGACCACAGTATGGCCTGGGAGGAAAGGAAGGATGCACCACCACACCTCTCATTCATGAAAACCACTCAACAAAAATGTCACACATGTTAGGTTTGTAGTGTGCACCTAAATAGGAGTACAGCAACACTTGGGACAAGTGTTCAACTGCATCACCCATGGGCTGAGGGGCAGCTCTTATCCTGTGATCCATGGGGTCCATCTCCATCAGAACCTATATTCTCCTAAACCTCCTTTGGTTTATATGCACAGACATACACATTCCTGTTCACATCTCCATCAACTGAAGAGCAGTAGAGATGCTGCTGAGCCTTCTGAGCTCCCCTTGGTGCAGGCAACCATGAGGATGCCAGCACAATGCTCATCAGGAGGACCATGGCTCTGACACCATCTGTGACACGCAGAAGGTCCTGCTGACCCCAAGGGAAGCTGGCAGATCAAGTTTGGAGGTTGTTCCTTCCCTTTGACAATGTCAGAGCAGGTTCAGGAGGTGCTTTTCAAAGTCTGCCCCACTTACACTGTTTTTGTTTTTCCCCTAACCTCTTTCTGAACTCTTGGATAAAAAGCTGTGAACTGAAGCTCACAGAGCTTAATTTCTTTCCCAAAAGACTTTTGTTCTACAGGAAATAACTCTTTTCTACAAAAAGAATAAACATATGAACTAAGACTTAAAAATGCTCATGTATCAAAAGGGAGAGTATGAAGAGGGCACAAGGGATTTATTTTCTGAATGGATTTGCTCATCCTGAATAAAAGCTGGCATCTTTTAATAGACTGAATTTTCTTTCCTGGCAAACAGTCCAGCTAAACTGACAAGCTTCTGAGTACAGCCTCCTAAATAAACAGCCTGTCTCCATCTTGCAGAAACGTTGCAACTATTATAAACACTGCAGATGGAAAAACAATCTGAAAGAAGAGAAGCTGGCAGGCTCCAGGAAGAAGGAGGAGCTGGCACGTGCACTTCAATTCACAGGAAGGGTCCTTTTGTGATAAAAATGAAGTAGTTCAAGTGTTTGTGTTCACTCCTTCATCTGAAAGAACTGCTTCCAGAAAATATTTTGTTATCAAGATGATCTAGGACAAAAAAAATTAGATTATCTACACTTTTATATGAGGTTAACTATAAATCAGTACTTTATGTGACAATGACTATCTGAATTGACAGAAATGCTTTTTCTTGGGTGTGAGTCAGTTCAGAGGCTGGCGATAAACCTTAGCTTGTCTTTAGAAGAGCTCTCCTGCAAACCATTCTGGATTAGTCCACCCTTTTCCCTCTATATGTCTGAGCCAAAAGTTCTCTCCAGCTCCAACCTGTAAGAGAAACAGTTGTGGGTCTCAGATTCAGTCAAAGAAAGAAACTGAGAATTTCTAGCCAGTCAAAATCCTGGGAAAGAGCTGGAGAAGAATGTAAATAATTCTTTATCTCTCTTGTTTTTCACATTGTTTAGTTAAGTTCTACCACTGTGCGTCAAGCACTTTGCACCAATGGTGTAGGTTGTTTTTATTTCAGAACCAATGGAGTTGGTCTTCACAAAGCTCTGTATAAAAGAGCGGGGCATTTTGAATAAATCGGAGTTTTATTCTCACAGCCTTCTGAGTCCAGTCTCTTCATTCCCGTCCTGCCTTGACAACGACAAACAGTGTTAGTTCTCTTAACTGTAGTCTGCTCTGAGTGATTTAGAGAGCCATTAGTGCACCAGCCACCATCCCTAGAGCAGACTACGTGCCAGTGCTCTGGGAGGTCTCTGCAGGGAGATCTGCACATGTCTAAAAGCAACTGTACTCTTGCCCAAGTCCTGTGCAGGTCTTGAAAGGTAGCACCCACACAGTCACGCAACAAAAACTTTTTTCTTTCATGTTTTCATTAGATTGGTCCATTTTTGTCTCCTGCCCTCAGCTCTGAGAATTTATTGTATACTAAAACAAATATGAAGGAATATTAACACTTTCCTATGTTTCCTTCCCTTTCTGTATTTTTTGCAATCCCTTAAGCTTTGGAACAGTTGGAAGAGGACAACCACAGTTCAGCAGGATGCTGAACCTCTCCTCCTCCTCCAGATGCTCGGAGTCAGCACAGGCTGACCCCTGGGATCCCAGGCTTAGGGACAATCACGCTCCCCAGGGGTCTGTGCTGATACCACCCACCATCTTAGTTTCATCTCCTGAGTTCTCAGGTCCTCTCCAGAAATCTTGAGGCTTATTCCCCAAGGAGGGATCAGCAAGCAGAACCTCAGTTCTGCAAGAGTTCAAAGAACTAGTGTTGTTCTTGCTCAGCATATCTGAACCCAGGCATGGTAAAATTAGTAATTCATCTCTTCACCTTTGCATATTCCATTTCCCCACTTTTTCTGCTGTGTTTTTACTTTCTTAATTGCTATTTTGATGCAATAGTGAAAGAAGATGCATACAAAAAGTGGAGTGACTGAACAAATTATGTGTCTTCGTAGTATTTCTCCAAAATTATCTTGGCTGGAGCAGTTTGCTGTTCTCAGAAACAACCTGAAGTCCTTCAACTAAAAAACTTTTGTGTTAGTAGCATATGTATAAAATAGTAGCAATGTTTCCATTTCAAAGTCAGTTTAATATCTGAATCAATAGAAAAGCATATTGAAGAGCCAATAAGAGAGGTGAGATGCTATCCATTCTGTAGCTGCCATCATTCTTGGCCTCCACCTATGTCCCTGGAATTTCCTCTGTAATCCAATTCCAGATGTGGTCCTTCTGTGTTGATCTTTTATCATTACAGCTGGCCTTGCCCTGTTGGTTTTGCTCATCTGCCATGTAGGGGATGCCATAGAGAGCTGCTCTAATGGAAAATCCAAAATAATGCTGTAATTGTTTCTTCTTGAGAAAGGGAGGAGGCAGTGAAAGGTAGCTCTGTCCACCCAGAATTCTCTGTCTGATGCCTCTTTTCCCTACCTCCTTGTTAAGTATCACAGTTAACTCCTTTCAGCTGTTTTAATATCCACTGTCAGAGCAGAGTGTGTACTACTCGCTTCACCAGTCTAGTCCGCCTGTTGCCCTCTCTCCTTTGAACTACCTCTAACTGAATTCTGAACCTCCGACCTTTCCCAAAGTTTTGGATACAAAATTACCTTGACATAATTTGAGACACAGCCACCTTGCCTTACTTTGGTGAGATGACAAAATCCCCATTAGGGTACTGGACCTTGGCTTTCTGAGGGGTTTTTAAGTTTGTTACTTCTGACTAGTGGGATCTCACTGGTATTCCTTGGGGGAAGGATTATATACAAAGAAGTACCGCAGATAGGATGTGAGAAGTCTGAGATGCAACCCTGAGTAAAAGTCAGAGAACAATGAAGACCAGATAATTTTATAACATAAATAGGAAAAAAATTCTATTTCTGTTCAAAACCTAGGAATAGGTTGTGCCCTCCTATCTATAAAGATATGCAAGAACATGAGCTTTGCTTTATTGAACCAAAGCAATAGTCTGTCTGGACAGAAATTCTGTCTGTGAAATTGGCTCTTAGGAGGTCTTTTTCAGAAAAGTGTAAACATGCTCCACTAGGATCAGGCTTTCCTCTGCTGCAACCTCAAGGCAATAGGGTGTCATTTGTCCCCAAAGGCCACACCTCTCTCAACCTTTACTTCATTGGCATGGATGTCCTGGCTGTCCCTGCAACCCATGCTATCCTCTTGCACCCCATACTTGCAACTCTTTCCTTGTTAGGAAAAGGCACTCTCTATATCCTATGACTGAACGTTGCCAGCACTTCAGAAAATTGTTTGAATTACAAACACCTCTATGACAGAGAAAAAAAAAACCTTTGGAAATCTTTTTTTCACAGGCCTAGCAGTGAGCAATAGTAGTAGTAAGATGATGAGCTCATTTCACATAACCCTTAGAATAGTTATAAGAAGCAGGTAATGATTTTCTCCAGTACATTAAACAGGTGACTAGAAGATTGGCAATCCATTAACAGAATAACACACAATAGCTTTCTGTGGAAGAACATTTAATTTTTATCTTTCCTGGTTTGCAAACCAAAACTTTATAAAATGCTTTTCAAACTTCAATTCTCTCTTTTAAGTTCTCATTTCTGTAATCTCTACAGAGAGATAAATATTGGTGTGCAAAGAAGTATTAAAGTAGCTAAATTGACAGAGGAGCAAAATTAAAAATTTGCTTCTTCCTTTAACTCTTATACGCTCTGTGATGGGGCTATCCATCACAAGTGAGCTATCTCAGGATTGATCACAAGTCTGGCACAATGTAATTACTGAACCAAAAGCATTGTATTATATAGCATGAAATGAAATAGCAACTTTGCCTTCCACATTATGAACCCGTTGACTAATGATGGAGTGTTGCAATTAGAAAGTATGGAAGTAACAAGACAAGGTATTTCACAGTCTACTAATGTATAGAATAAAACTACTGATAGAGTGAAGCAGGGAAATTAAAACCAATAAAACTGAAAGAGAAAATAACAAAGGCATTCTTAATAATCTGTAAAAGGAGAGGATGGAAGTGTCCTCTAAAGCAGGTGAAGTTTACAAAGATTATGCGCAGCATCTGAGAAGGGCTTCTTCTGGTCTTGTGTCGGCAGATCTATTTTTCTTCCTAGTAAGTTTTGTGATGGCTGAGAATTCTTGCATTCATTGGCATCTTGTGACCTAGCATCAGGAGATTTTGCTTTAAGAGATTAGAGACAAAAACCCAATGAGGCGCGGGCAAGAGCTCCCATTGTCCAAAGCTCCCTCCCGACTCCCATTTGATGCTGCCTGAGTGGCAAAAGGCTGATCACTGTCACTAGATTATCTGGGGCACCAAGACAAGAGCACTAGCGTCATAGCTAGTGCTTTGAAAATCATGGGTTTGGTAAAACTTGACAACAAAAAACAAACAAACAAAAAAACCCCATAGAAAATCCCCACAACAATAAAAAAAAATCAAACAAAACAAAACAAAACAAAACAAACAAAAAGATAGAAAAAATGAAGTACTGCAAATTGCCCCAAGACCATGGTAAAGGCACTCTTCACTCCTCATATTTGCTTGAAGTGTGCATCTTCAAATAAGCTGGCTATCTGGAAACAAAAAACAGGTGGGAATTCATTTAAAAATACAATCATTCTTCTTTTCTTCTCTTTTTTCTTTTTTTTTTTTTTTTTTAAGCTTGGATATAAATCTTTCCAAAGTCATAATATCAAGTACAAACATTCTTAGCCCCTGATGCAAAACAAATCCATTAACTTACAGAATAATCCAGCCTACTAATATTTCATCTTAATGTTAGCTGCAAACTTCAACAGTGTCTGAGTGATACAGGTATTCAAACTTATAGTGATACACAGAAAACTAAAAAGAGAAGGAGAAGAGAAAAAAGGAAAAGAAAAAGGAAAAAAGAGAAAAAAGGTGAATACAATTGCATGTGGTGACATTTTCTGACACAGTCTGGCTTAAATTCACTAATTAATTTCAGCAATAACAGAGAAAAATTAGTCTTTCCTCCTCTCTCTTCTCCCACCTATCACTTCTGTCAAGGCTGCTGACTGACAGAGAGTAGGATTTTTGAGGATATTTTTGTGTTTGCAAAATATCAGCCCTAAGTCTGACTCCATCTCTTTGGAGCACTCCGTGCCTTTCTGCAGAGAGCTTTCAGAGGCAAATGAGCCAGAGAGAATACTCATCACTGAAGCTCTTTTGTAGAAACCGTATGAACAGTTCTGTGAAAAGTTGAAGAAATACAAATTACAGGCTTCTCCTCTCACTTGCAAGGGAGATTTTAGAAACTTCTCCTCTTTTGGCTAATAATTCCCTGGCTAGTAAAAATACCTTGAGGTGATAAGGATACAAATGTTTATGAAATCCTAACCATCTTTTGTTTATCTTAACAAACTAATATTTTATACCTTGTGTACTTTGTTTGCACTACCTCTTTATGCACAATGGCAGTTGCTCAAAATGTCCTAGAAATAACATAAGACCACCGACTCAGGAAAGGAAGTTGTCTTTGAATCCTAGTGTGCTTTGTCAGCTGCGTCCTGTTGAGACGCTGCTCATCCTGGGCTGTTCTTGTGGACTGCATTTACAGCGTTTACCCCATGGTCAGCGTTGGAAGAACAGTGAGTTCATATGTATGTCCTAACTTGGGTGACATTTACAGGGACAAAATCTCGACCTTAGGCTTTACCATCAGGATCACAGGTTGGTAAATCAAGCAATTAAAGGGATTGCAGATTAGTATTTAAATTTATGATATTTTAATTCAAATTACCACAAAATGACTGCAATTTCATTATTAAAAAAGCAAGCTATAAAATAGATGTATTGAACTCTGTACTTTTCTCTAATTTTATGTTGTAACTGTATTTTCAATGATTTATCTTAATACTTAATTCTATCATTCAGTATTTTCCAAGATGTTTTCTATAACCAAAATATGCATAATTTCCCTAGGAGGCTGAACAGTTGTTACGAAAAGTAATTGCTTACATAAAGCTCTATTAACATTTGGAAAAGTGTTCATATTTCTGAAACAATCAAGAATTCAGAGATGGTTAAGATTTATCTACCTATTTTTCCCTAAAACCTTTATTGCTCTTGGGGTACAATTTTGAAGACATTAAATGTAAAATACAAACCATTATCCTAATGGCTAAATGGAGTAATTCATGAAGACAGAGGTGCTGGGATCAAGCAGCAGCTCAAATACCTGTCAAAATGGGTTGGACTCTTATGATCTTTAACGTCTCTTCCAACCTAGTCACTCTGAATTCTGTGAAAACAAGAGCCAGAATCCACATCTGCTCCCTCCTGGCAAAACACATCTTCCAGATAAGATTGCAGGAACATTCTCTCTCTTCTGGTTTGGTCCTTCTGGTCACTAACACTTGCAGAGGTGGCTATGTTGCCCCTTATTCCTACTCTGACCCTGTTTGGCAGTCAGAATATTTATCTAGAAAATTGGTCACCTCAGGGCACACAGTCATAAAATCCATGCTATCCCACTATCTTGGTCAATGTTCTATGCACTAGACACCTGACTAACTCTGTGAATTCTGCCTCTTTCATGATTTAAAAGGGAAAGGTAAGTGTTGCAGCATTTTTGAGAGAAAGAGGACATGAGTTATGAGATTTGAGCTACTCCAGTCTAGGCCTCAGATTTGGGCTTTGTGAGGCCTTCAAGCCTCTGACGCAGTTAGAAATTAAGAGTTTGTGGCGCAGATAAAAATAGTATGGGGGTGTGATGGGGACCACTAGGCTGTCTGGGTGTGAATTAGTATCGGTTCATAGCGTAAGGCTCAAGCCACTTTAAGGAAAAGGTAAACAATCTTAGCCTACCAATCAGAGTGCCTTTGTTTTTGTAAACTATGTAGAAGCTTATATAAACTACCATCTTATCTCAAATAAAGGGAGAACGTTTGATTAACCACATTGGTTGAGATCTGCGTTTGTCTTGTCCAGTTTCCCGTTTTCCTGAGATTCCCTGGCTTTTGGTAAGTATTTTCTCCAAATCACAGAAAGTTACTTTTAATATCAATTTGCATGATGCATATCAAAGAGCTGCCAATTTGTCCCTTTATTTTGGTGTATTGGATTTGTGAGGCAATGTCTTGGTAGCAGGAGGGACTACAGGAGCAGCTGCTGAGAGAAGGTGCCAACAGAGCCAATCCCTGAGGGCTCCAAGATGGACCTGCTCTTGGTCATGGCCAAGTCCATCAGTGATGGTGCTAGTGACACTGAGATAATGTATTTAACAAGGGGAAAATGCACAGAGGAAATGCAGCCGAAGAATGACAATATGCAAGCAAAAAAAGCCCCAGACACCAAGGTCAGTGCACAAGGAGGGGCAGAGGCACCCCAGGTGCTGGAGCCGAGGTTCCCCTGCAGCCCATGCTGCAGACCATGGCAAGGCAGATGTGCCCCTGCAATCCATGGAGGAGCCCATGCTGGAGCATGTGGAAACATCTGAAGGAGGCTGTGACCCTGGGGAAAGCCTGCACTGGAGCAGGCTCCTGGGCAGGGCTTGTGGAGAGGAACTCACACTGAAGCAGGTTTGCTGGCAGGACTTGAGACTCCACAGGGTGCCCACATTGCAGCAGCCTGTTCCTCAAGAACTACACCCTGTAGGAACCACACCAGAACATTTCAGAAAAAAATGCTGCATGTGGGAAGGACTCCTGTTATAAAAATTAATGAAGACTGTCTCCCATGGGAAGAACCCCATGCTGGAGCAGGGGAAGAGTGTGAGGAGTCCTTCCCTTGAGGAAGAAGGGGAAGAGACAGTGGGTGCCAAAGTGACCACAGTCCCCATTCCCCATCCTCCTGCACCACTTGCAGGGAGAGGTAGAGAAAATCAGGAGTGAAGTTAAGCCTGGGAAGATGAGAATGCTGTGGGAAAGGCAGTTAGATTTGGGTTTATTTCTCATTACTGTACTCTTAACTGATTGATAGCAAACTAATTTCCCCAAGTCGAGCCAGTTTTGCCCATGACTGTAACTGCTGAGTGATCTCTCCCTGGTCTTATCTCCACCCATTAACCTTTTGTTATGTCTCTCCCCTGTCCAGATGAAGAGTGATGGACCGATACTGGTGTGCACCTGCAATCCCATTGAACTCAACCCACCATATTTAGGAAGAAAAATTCAGGGAAACTTTCCCCAGGGTGTTTTTATCTAAGTGATTGGTGTTTCCCTCCTTTTTCCTTACTCAATTAAGTCCCAGGTGATTTAAGTCCAGCTCTGAGGCACCTCATCTTTTTGACTGACTACACAGGGAATACAGGCATCACCGACTTTGGGGTGCTGCAGCATTCAGTATCTAGGTTTCTCTTCAGATGTAGCCTAGTTCCTCTGTCAAGAAAGCCTCAAGAGCCATTTTGGAGTGTAGTAGTCAAATTTATTTCCACTGTAGAAGCACACTTGTTTCAGTAATAAAAAAAATAATCTTTGCAGAATAAAAGTAAACCTGTAGTGGTATAAATATTATTTACTTGCACACGAATTCACCTAAGTCACTCAACATATGTTTAGACTTAGTATTCCCACAGTTCTACATTTCCAATGGAGTTAACAAGACAGTTATTTGCAGAAAGATGAGAAAGGTGAAGACTGGCTCAGTTGGGATTTAAACATATATGAAATAATAGAAAGCTTCTTTCCTTGGCTGGTTGTTTTGGCTTGGTGGTTTTTTTTGTTTTGTTTTGTTTTATTGTTATATGACTACATTGCCTATGAAAAATACTAACAGCCTTCAGCAATGACCATTTCTGTTTGTCTAATTAAAATATATTACATAGACAGACACAGAAGCCTCTTCTGGCTGCCTTGCAGACATGACCTTGGCACTGGCCAGGCAGAACCAGCAATGAGTGTAGAAGTGTTCAAGCTCAGAGGTTCTTAGGCTGTGCTCAGTCTCCATGTCTCCATTTCTGAGATTCTTAGCAGCAGCTGCTGCCTACCAAGAACAAACAAGGTCTAGCAATTTCCTTCAGGGGGTCATCACAGACTCATAAGACAGAATGCTGGATCAATCAGTAAATCCCTGTGCTATGCTAACACAAGTGCTCTACTCCATAAAGCCTTATTAATGGCCTGGAGAAACCAACAGGCCAGCTTATAGTATGTATGGCTGATGTGTAACTTTGCCTAATATGAATACTTCCAAAAAAAAGCCCACCATAAAAACTCAAACCTATTTTCTGCACTCCCATTCACTTTAAGCCATGGAACAATAGTAAACACAACTGCAACAAATTTAACTTGCACTTTAACTTCTAGATAACTCTTCAACTGTTATTCCCACTTGAGGGAGTGGAGAAAAAAAGCAGCGGGCAAAAAAAATTTAATGAATTGCTCTCATGACTCTGTATTCCTGTGCTCTGCCAAAATTATACTTCTTTACCATATAGCCTATTGTCAGCACCATGTCCTCACAGCAAACACTGATTTATTCTTATCCTTCCTTCCTGCTAGTACAGTGACAAAGAATACAAGGTTCAGCCTGGATTATTTTCAAGGCCTCTATGAGAGGAGGACACTGAACTAATACAGCACAATACTGAAGACAAGAGAATATAACACGTAAGTTCTGATACACTGAAAAGCAATTTCACACATAAAATCATTTATAGTGTAGGCACACTGACATATTGAGCACCATTTTTTTTTTTCAGTTTAACATCAACATTCAACTCTGAACAGAAGAATGTTAAGCCCCTAGGCCAGTTTCAGTATCAAGGAAAGAACTACTTCTAATTTAGAAACATCAAAACACTAACGTTGACACCTTAGCTGAGACGTTCACTGCAAGTGACCCTCTCTCTGAATTCGAAGGCGCTCCTTCTCTACTTGTAAGCGCTCCTTCTCAATCTGCAGCTTTTCTGACTCAAACTTTAGGAACTGCAGCCTCTCTTTCTCTAACTGCAAACGTTCTTTTTCAAGTTTTAACTTTTCAGTTTCTAGATCCAGAGGCTGCATGATGGGTTTTTCAGTTTGGGTGAGGTCATTTTCCAGGACAGGTTTTTCAGCATGCAGAGTCTCTAGCCTGAGTTTCTCCCACTCTATCTGAAGTCGCTCCTTCTCAATCTGAAGCCGCTCACGCTCCAAGTCAACGTGCCGCAACCGCTCCTTCTCTATCTGCAGGCGCTCCTTCTCCACTTGCAACCTTTCAGCTTCGATGTCCAGTCGCTGTTTCTCCAGCTCCACCTTTTGCTTCTCCAGATTTATAAGCAAGTGAGAATCTTCATAAGCTAGCCTAGCTTGAGCAGAGCTCAGATTTCCAAATTCTTCAATGTGGGGGAAGTCTGGTAGGTCATTTTCCTTTTTTGAATCTGGCAGAACTGATGACAATATTTCTTCTTCTTCCTCAATAGGAAACTGCAGAGAGGAATGCAACAGGCAAGAATGACATTCCAGTCTTTAGGCCAGAATAAATCTTTTGCATACAACTTTACTGAAAAGAACATACTGCATTTTTTCATCATCTTTAAAGCTATTCAAAAGTGTTTATCGTGTATGTTGTGAAATAACCATGCTACGTCAGAAGATTTTTTTAGCATTACACAGGAAGAGAAACAGGTTTTATCTGCAAGTTAATATCTGGTAAAGAAATATAAAAAATCTTGTCTGGAAAAACATCCAGAAAATACAGCAGAGTAGTTATTACAGATCATTCAGAACAACTGACAGAAAACTGGATCTAGAAGACCATATGTTGTTCTTACCTTTCATAGAGCTGAGTGACATTTATGTAAGCCACCAGGCATTTGTTGTGACTAATTATTTATCAGAGCAGATGGATCCATAGGCTATGTGTTATGTAAGCTAGCCTAACCTTCAATAACTTGGGCTATTCCATTCCTAAAAAACATTTTAACACTGACATTTTTCACATGCTCCTAACTCTTCCAACTCTATTAAGTGGGTCAATAAGCAGGATTTGTTTAACCATTTTGTATTATCACATTTGCTGTAAAGCTATTTGTGACGCATGATGAGGTGGTTAGGACCACTGCTCTCAGCAGACTGTAACATTTTGTGTAGTATCACAGCCCTTACAAATTCATAGTACTAAAGAGATAAATTGTCTTCCAACAGGTATGCTGCAAGAGAAAGGCAAACTGAGGAAGGTTAAGTGTTCAGAAAAACCTTAGGACAAGGAGAGTCATTGCCAGTCCTCTAGCATTAGAGAAGACAAACACTGTTCTTCAGCTATGTCTGACAGTAGTTCTCACTGCCATCTAACAGCTTACACTGGTTTTCTCCCAGCATATGTATCTGCCATCTAACAGCTTACACTGGTTTTCTCCCCGCATATATATCAACAGAGTTAAGACAGGAGTTGCCTCCCCACTCTTCCTACTCAAAAAAAACCCAACAAAACAAAAATCAACAAAAATATCCCCCCAAAAAACCCAAAGCAATAAAATACCCTGAACAAAATTGTTTGAGTACTCCTTTTGGAAAAGAGAACTATAAACCCCTTTTGTTTAGAGGAACAGCAAAACTATCCCAACATTTGACTGTATTCCAGCTGGGTGCCTATCCTAAGACTGTCACAGTACTACTAGGAGTATCAACTTGTCTAAATAATCTGCTACTGCTTGTCAAATTCACACTAAAATTCTGACAAAGGGGAAAGGCTGACTAATTCAAGTAATGCTTTTGTCTCCTGTAGGTTCATTTCATATTCTATTTCTTTCTGTACCTGCATGTAACATTTACTTTCATTTGTTAAAGATATGCACTTCTCCATTCATCCATTGAGGCACTCTGAATACTAAAATGACCAGTTTCCTTCAACAGCATATTTTCCTTGCATTGACTCAACTAATTCTTATCTGTGGCATACACAAATGGAAAATACATGTGCAAAGACATACTCAAAGTTTAGGGGTATCAAACCAGTAATCAACATCCAAGACCTTACAGACAATTCCAAATTGCTAGAGGTGAATACCATGTCTCTGAATTATATTTATTTCTACAGTTTAATTCACACATTCAGAAATAAAACAGAAACAGATGCTATGAAGAAACAGTAAAAAGCCTTATGCTGAAATGAAGCAAAGGTCATATTGCATAGAGCTCATGTATATCAGTTACTCACTTCAAAATTCTGTGGATCTTCCTCTTCTACTTTGATTTCTGTTAAAGATCCACCGGGTTCTCTGAAGTCAGTGATATTTTGCCACTCAAAACTAGATTCAATTGCAAATCCCATTTTCTCATCCATGTCTTCATTGAGAGAGTCATCTAAATTGGATGAAGGAAGGTGAAACCCAGCACCTACTACTTTGATGTTTGCATTCAGACGTTTTCTCTTCATGAGTGCTCTCCAGTCAAGGTATCGCCTTTTCACTTCTGTCCCTGTTCTCTGCTCTCCTTCACCTACAGCATTGACACACTCTGCTATTTCCTCCCAAGCTTTCCGTTTCATCTCATTAATTGTTGTATTAAGTTGCTTTGAAAATAGTACTTCTCTCCTTTTTCTGATTTCCTTAAGGAGAGTCTGAGTTTCCTGAACACTAAAATTGCTTTTTCTTTTTCTTTTTAACTGTTTCATTTTTTCCAGGCTTAACCTAGTAATTTTACCACAGCAGACTACAGAGATGATCTGACACTAATCCGCTACTAATATAAATAAATTTAAAAGCAAATGAAAGCAGAGCTCAGTTCTCATGAAGTGAATTTTCTCTTCACTTTGTTGTATTTTTCTATTTGTCAGGCTTCCTAAGAGAAAAAGAGCAAACAAGATAAATCTCCAGTATACACCAGATATTTTCATTTAACAACTTGACTCCTAAGTCATCATTTAAGGAATGCATAGTTTGAACTGTTATTTGATAAAGGAAAACCATTTTGTTAAACTTTCAATACCAAGTAGTCACAGATACTTCCTCTAATCTCCAATAAATTATAAAACCATAGATATATTAATAAATCCAAGTCACGAACTGTTAAGGTTGATTTAGTATTTCCATTACAAAAGTACAGACATTTTCCTTTAGCTCTTAAGAGTTTTGTCAATCAGGATTTCCTTACGACTGAAATTTGACACACATATTTCAGTTTGAATGCTCAAGTATTTACAAAAGAAGCTGAAATTATTACATCATTGCTTCAAAAATATGAAATGTTTGGGGTACTGAAATTTCTGAGACACGTATTAAGTAAGAAACCATTGTCATTTAAAAAAACGTAAACTCATATGAAAAGTTTACATTTTCAAGGCTCTTCTAACTTAACATAATCATAAATAAAAGAACTGGAGCAATTTTGTTGAAATGTCATAAAATAACTACTAAAACAAATGTCATTCATTAGAGACATTTTAACAGGAAATAGATTTAAGTCATTTTATATGCCCATGGTAAAACCCTCCCGTATCCTTCTCAGGCTGCTGAACATCTCATGTTCTTACCATGGCAGCTTTACAGTTCATCCAGTGCTCTACCCTCAGCACCAGCTGGTCCCATGCCTGATGCTGAAGAGAACACGAATCCCCATAATTCACCTGACAGACTGTGTGCAACTCTGAAGAGGAGTGGAGAGTGAGGGGACTATTATCACAGTAATGAATATTATTACTGCATTAATAACAGATGATATTACAAAAAAAACCCCAAAAACCCCCCCAAAAAACAAAACAAACAAACAAACAAACAAAAAAACCAGAACAACCCACCAAACTGGGAAGCAAAGACTAAGAATCAAAAATGGTTCTTGGTCGCATATTGCTGGGCAATAGGTTCAATTTAGCATTATTCTGAACAGTCTTTAGTACCATGTTACCTACCACTGCAGGTAGGTTTAAAAGGCTTTAAGTCAAGTGGGCGAAGGATTCACTATACATTACAGGCAGCTTCAAGCGGCTGTTTGTTCACTGTTCATGCAGTAAAGAAATTTGTCCACATAAAGGGAAATGGCTTCCAGATTATAGATTCAATTGTTCCTAACTAATGAGCTTAATTCTTAGATAACTCCCTCCCAGCTATACAGGATTCTTAAATTAGTAAGTATTTTTCCTCCTATTATTCTCCCTACATTTGGTTAAAGCATACACATCAGCACACTGCACTACAACTCCCCACTTGGGGAATAATGTCTGGTAGTTCAGACATTGTTCTTGATCTCCAATACACTACTGACTGTAAATAAGTGGCTCATTTGCAGTTTTCCATGTTAAGCAACATTCTTTCATAGCCAACAAACACAGAAAAACAAACAAAAATAAACTGGGTTTTAAAATCAAATTTTCATCATCTTCCAAATACAATTCTACATCAATATGGAAAATGCTGACAGATAAGCTTTCTCCTTAGGTCTGGAGAGGGATGAGAGTTAAAACATGCAAATGCCAGGCCACCCTGTGGGCCAGCCCACTGCTCTTTGCACCAGTGCTCTAAGTCACCTGACTGACCTGCCCAGCCACGCTTATTAAGTGTCTCATCTCGGTTTTGGATTTTATGCCGTAAGGCAAGGACATAACCTTTAAGAACTACAAGACTAACTTTGAAGCTATTGGCATACAATTCCTTTACTAGGTAAAATTTTCTTTTGGACTTTAAAACTTTTGCTAGAACACATCTGATCTTCCCAGTGAAACATCAGTAAAACCTATATATTTTAAAACTCATGACTACCAACTTCCAATTGGTAAGGACACTGTGTCTCTTTAACTCTTTCCTTTTTGAAAGCACATTGCTTTGTTAAGGACAACTCCTTTCTAATTAATACATATGGAGTTAGTGAATTGTCTTAACAGTGCATTTACTCCCAAAGATAGTTCTGTGTATCTATCTGATATATTAACTAAGAAGAATTATTATCTAACCAAAGCTGAGGCTTTGGATATTCGGTTCTTAGCCATTGCCAGATGGTCTCCAGGATATTACTCTTTAATGAGGAAAAATGAGCTGTTACATACCTAATATTCCAAACCTCAGCAGCTGGGATAGCGTTAATGCTCATCCTAGTAGCTGGGACAACGCTGTGTTTTGGATCAGTGTGCCAATGTTGGCTACACACCAATGTGTTGGTTGTGGTTAAGCAGTGCTTACTTTAAACCAAGGACTTCTCAGTTTCCACCAGAGAGGAGATGCACAAGAAGCTGGGGAGAACTGCAATGCAAAATGCATACTTTGACAGTTTGGGTAGAAATGTGAAGTGCTCGCTAAAAAAAAACAATTCTGATGACATCACAAAGACTTCAAGGTCTTCCAGAAAAGATGGCAAAATGGAGCTTTGACTTTGGGCCTGTCAGGCCAAAAGCAAATTGTGATCAAGAAGGCTCTCATCACCGCACCAAACAAACTGTTGGGGTTGAAAAGAAAGAAGTACTGTAAAACTAAGCTGGAAACTCCATAAATAGACAGAATATGCATACACTGAATACCTTTGGCATAGTTAAAAACAGGAGCATCCTCATTCTGCCTCTATCTTCTGTTTCCTTTGCTCACAATTTATTGTCGGACCAACAAAAAAATATTATCAAATGCTCCAACCAAACAATGAAGCAAACAAAAAGATCCATGCATTCACCAGGAGTGAAAGACTGTTTCTAGCATCAAAATAGAATTTTACAAAAATCATTACTTTTTACAAAAGATGACGTCTTGATTTTATTTAAATAAAGCATTTAGGGCTTATGCTTGAATAAAAAAAAACCCTACAACATTCAAATTACAAGGATCTGCTATCTCTAAGTTTTCTTAAATTTTCTTAATTATATAAAATTCTTCTAAATTTTCTTAAATTAAGAGTCTTGAGTATCTTCTGCCTAAGGCTTTCTAGAAAACTTTTTTGTGATTCCTAACAGATGGCTACATTGGCTTGGAGCAACTTATACTTTTGTACAAAGGTTTTTAGTACAGGAGGATCTGGGCGCTGCACAACACATCACCCAGCACAGAACTGCAAGAAGCCCGCGATTTACACAAACGAAAAAGCAAGCAGAGCAGGGAACCAAGAGCAACTAAAAGGATAATTCAACGAAGCAGGGAGAAAGCGCGGAAGATGGGAAGCAGCTGAGGATTCAGGCAATTGAAGGCAGAGACGTATCAGGCCGAAGCTCCCCTTCCCCGGGACGAGCCACGGCTACGAAGGGGAACAGAAGGCCTCGGCCCTGTGCGGGAGGCGCTTCTGGAGCCGGGAGGGCGGGCTCGGCCGCGGCTCCGGGCTCGGCCGCGGCTCCCACCCGGAGCGCTTCAAGGAAAGCAAGGCAGCAACAAAGGGAGGCGGGGACACGGCCGGCTGCCCGGCCAGCACAGCCCGAGGCCCAGAGCGCAGACGGACCCGTGGGCATTGCTCAAGCCAGGGTCGCTCCGGCCGGCGGAGCGCTGCAGCTCTCCCGGGAGAAGGAGAAATAAGAACAGGACCTCCCCGTGGGGGGATAAGAGGGTGGGCAATCGCCTCATCACCCCCAGGGACCGCGGGCGACGTAGCCCACCGCTGAAGCCCCGCGAGGACGCCGGGGGCTGCCCGCACGCCGCGGGGGGAGCGGCTGCCCCATCCCCGGGCCGGTCCCGCCGCCCGCTCCGCCCGGTCCCCGGGGGCCGCGCGCGCGACTCACCTGCGCCCGGCGCTCCCCTCCGGGCCGCCGGCCCTTTAACGGCCTCCGCTCTCCCATTGGGCGAGCTGCCTGCCTGTCACTCTTCTCCGCACGCCTATTGGTGCTCAGCGTCCGCCGCTTCCCCGCCCCGCCGCGCCAGGCGAGCCGGAGTCCCCATCGCTGCTCCGCCGGCGGGGCCGCGCCGCGCGCAGCCGCCGTGCGGCCATTGGCTGCAGCCGCCGCTTGTCTGCCGGAAACGCGCCGGTGATTGGCTGCGGGCTGCCGCGGCCCGCCCCCTCAGCGCGGGACCCTCCGCGGGGTGGGCGCAGCGCGGGAGGTGCGCGGTGCCGCTGGGCGGCGGCCTGCCAGGGAGGGAGCAGCGGGGCAGCCCGAGTGGGCGCGACAACCGGGTGAGCCACCGGTTTGGCCGCCGGGTTTGTGATGCTGCTGTCCAGAGTGAGCGCCCGGCAGCCGCTGTTCCTCCTGAACTGCGCGGGTTGTGATTAAAGTGGAGAAGTGACGTTTATTACATCCTGTCATTAAAGAAGTAAAAGTAGACCATATGGTCTACTTCGGACGCAAACTGGTTTAAGTCCGTGGTGAATTCCTTGGGTCTGTAGAACATACATGTACAATTTCCTTCTGATTGTGTACAGGGTTACACAACTTCAGCTCTCAGATTTGGTCTGTGAATCGCTTCATTGTTCAGTATAAGTTTTTAATATTGTGAATGCTGCTGGAATGCTTTGTACATGTCTCCAAAAGGCTTTTGCTAGCTGAAAGGCTTTTGGGGCAAAGGCCTTGGAGTGTTGGAAAGTTAATTTGTATTGGCATTTTATCTCTAGAAGAGTCTCGGGGTTAGAGAATTTAAGTTTTGGAAGGACACAAGACAACACTGGGCTCCGTCACTTTGTATCGATGCCACTTCTGCAAGCCTTGGCATGCAATTTTGGACTTTGTAGCTTTTATCTCCTTCTATATAAAGCTCTTTCTACTCGCATTTCAGCAACAATAAACACCCAATCATTTGCAATACTTCAACTGTTAAAAAACCCTGTGTATCAATCTGATCTAATTTTTAAAAAATATACCAATTTAAATATACCCTACAATGGTAAACTTAAGAACTTTTCAGCAGACAATTAAAATTAGCATGGGAACAGTAATTCAGTATGCAAATTATATACAAATACAAGGTCCAAGGAGAATTATAAACCCCCCCTCACTCCACTTTTCATCCATGCTAACTGCATTCTTGGTTATGGCATTCAAAATGTTCTCCAATTGAAAAAAAAAAAACCCAAAAGTGATTACCTGCATTAGAAAATTAGAAACACTGTAGAGTCCCTGCAGTTCTGCAGTTTGAAACTCACTGGGGAAAAAAAAAAAAAAAAAAAAAAGACCCAAGAAGGATTCAGTTGCTCAGTGCTTTATTTCACAAAAGAATGAACATCTCAGCAATTGTGAAGTATTGTACTTTCCACATATCAGCAGAGTCCAGGCAGCAGCGAAATGTTACTGTTCTCTATGCTTTACTGGGTGTTAGAAGGAAAAAAGTAAATTGAGCATAATGTTCAACTATAAATATTGTCAAATACATCCCTGTTTTCAGTCTATTTTAATTAAAATAGATCTTATGCTGCCTCCTGTTGGTCACCTACAAACAGAAACATCTAAAATTAACCTCCGCATTAGGAACTGCAGTCAGCACACTCTATAGCTATACCTTACCTACTACCCTATACTAACCAGAGCAGCTAAACAGTTAGAAAACCGTTTATCACAGAATAATACATGAATAAATCTGACCCAGAAAATGCACCCCATTTTGTGAATATAATGAATTTTTAACAGCAGTAAACTTACTACAAATGTACTTAGACTATATGAAACAAATTAATTAGTCCTTAAATAATAATCATCAGGTTTGTGCAAACATAATCAATAAAGACCTAAATAAGTGATATTTATTGTAACAACTAAACCAGTATGATAATATTACCAAAGTGCCATAATGTTTTGATAGCATTCTTTAAAAGTTGAAATTATCCAATATAATCATCACTGGATATTAAAATCCTACATACAATATATATTATCTTTGTGTATATTATACTGGTCATGCTTATAATGTATTCTGTGACATAAAATAGAATACTATTAGAAATGTTTTGGTTACATCATTTAAGTGCAAATAGTAGATTATAATTTTACATGCATTTTGTATGTTTAAACATCACTGTATTTCAGTGAGAACATACGTAATCATTAATCTAGTTGCTATTTTTAGAGGAAGGTACTTTTTCATAAAGCTTTGATTCAAAGAGCTTTGAAAAGTCATAAAAGATATTAAAAAACTCACTTTGCATTAATTTTGTGACTTTTGTTTTTAAATGCATAAATGCTCTGTAGACTGAAAAATCTGTTTGATCCAGACTACAACAGTTACTCATGCAAGTAATTCATACTCTTTTGTGTAGTTCACTGAGAATTCTTACATCTTTAGCAATTAATAACACGGTTCGCAACATAGGTCCTTTCTTCTATCATAAAGCCTTTTTAACCATGACTTTCTAACACTTCTGCTTCTTCTGCATTCAGTTCTGCTACCAGATTTAATACTTTGTATGTGAAGATGTGGCAAATGATCCATTTTCCTTCGTGAGAGCTGTAGTAGAGGCTTACCTGCCTAACTGCAGAAAATCAGTACCATTTCACAGTAACTTTTGTGTAAGTAAAGCTAGAAAGTAACTGACATTACTACATTATTTCCTGATCACTGAGTAAGAGCTCAACTCCCTGTGAAATCCATGAATGATTTGTCAGACTGGGAACTGACATTAGATCCTGCACAAATATAGTGTAAAATACTAAAGAAGCATGTCCATTTTCCCAATTCAGCTTCAGTCAGTTTTCACTGTATAGTGAGGAATTTCTCACATACGTCATTGCTCTATCTGATGTCAGATGCCAGAGTCTTATAGCAAGTAGCTGGGTGGAAGACTGCCAAAAAATCAGCGGTAGGGAAAAACTTAGAGGAAAGAGCATCACCTCCATGACTCGCTTGCTGTTTATGTAACCCAACAATTTGGTCCTGACAGTGGCAATTAAAACACCCTTGCAATTCTCTGGTATCTTCCAATTTGCATAGCTGTTTATACCCATGTACTATGGGCATGTTACTTTTCTCAATGCATAAATTGCATACTCATATACTCAGGTATAAGCACAACACAAATACACAAGCAAAGGTGAACTGGGCCTCATATTTCAATGATGTGACAAGTTGCCATAATTAATGGTTAATGAAGTCTCTATGCTACCCTGAGTAGCTTCATTAAAACTAAAACTACCATTTTCCTATGTGTTTGTTTTTTTCCTATTGTTTCAGTAAGAGGAATAGTATTCTTCCTCTCTCTACTCAATACATTTGCTTTGCACTAACAAAAAGTAGTTGTGTCCCCATATAAAAGTACTTGCATTTTTGCAAGGTGATTGTAAAGGTTACCTAGCTACGTTTAGTTAAAATATGATTTGGAGTCTTATTATGGAAAAAAAAAAGTGGAAGTTGCCTGAAATACTGTAGCAAGCTATTTACTTCTACATAACTGATATGCATATTAATATACAGAAATTACTGAAAGGTCTTGCTCTAGTAACATCTTCTCCAAATGTACATGATTTTATTTTACATACTTATGAAAATTATTATGATGAATATTATCTAAATTTGTAAAGATATCTGATAACAAATTATAGAGACGGTCACAGAATTGGAACCTTCCATTGTTTACTGTTTAAAACAGAAGCCTGTTCTAGGCAATATTAAGCTCTAAGCATTAATATTCAGCTTGGGTTTTGCAAAAAGTACATGCAGTAGTGATGGGACAATGAACTTACCAGTTGTCTCAAGACATATGAAAGATGTCTCTGATGCCTCACTAAATTTTATTCATTATTTAAACTACTTGACAAGATGTGATTAAATGTTTAGAACTATTATTCTGTGTGGCAAAAGACAACCTTACTGCTTTCACAATACTTATATGGAACATAAGGGCTCTCAGTGTCTTATCTGCATACCTGGTAAGAAAGGAAATTCTCAGGCTGTGGAAGATTACAAATTAATTTATGAAACCTAGCTGGTTTCAGTGTCCTCCTGTCAGAAAGAAGACTGACTTTGTAAGCATGAGATCAAATTTACTTCAGAACGTATAGCTAGACTAATATTAGCACTAAAAGTCCATTCCAATTTTAATATTATCATAGCTGACTACTTAAAGTTTATCAAGCAATATATTGTGTAGTGTTTGCTATGTAATATTTTAACATCTAAAAATACAATGAAGTTCAAGATAAAGTGTTTTAATTAATTTCAACCACAGGAGATGATTGATGACCTCAGAAATACTATTTACTATTGACTTTTAATATGGAGGTGTAGGTTTGTAACTTTGTATGTGATGTATGACAAGATACAAACTTTTCCCATAGTTAACGGAAGCAACAGCTATGATTCAGTTTACAGCTTGCTGCTATAAGCAGCCTAGTGACTGCTTAATAGGTAGCACTGAAGACTTCAGAGATGAAGACTTCTGTTAGAAAACATCCTGAAGTGTTTTTTCTTCAGTTGAAGAAAACGTATGACTGATGCAAAGGTATCACATGAAGTATCTGTCCTGTATAAATCTTACTTACCCTGCAGTATGTTATTGAAATTTACCTTGCCACAGTTAATGCGATGGAAACACAAAATAAAGCTACTACTAAGGCACAAGGATGGAGAAAAACTGGTAAAACTGAAGAGCTGAAGTAAGATGACAGGAATTATCAGTCTCTTCAAATTACATACCTGGTTTTAATACTGTGAAGGTCACTTTGGCTCTTGTCCTTGCTAAAGTCATTGTGATAAGATAAAGTTGACAATGAATTCCTCTTACAGGTTTATGAACATAGAAAATCTAAATAACACTAACAAAAATGTCTTTTAAACTTCAGTTACATAGGGAAAACAGTATCACAGTCAGTTTTCTCATTTAGCAATTTGTCTGTTGGGACAACTGAATATTATGGAAATAATGACACATACTACACAACTAATTCCTCATGAATATTCTTTTTGGAAAATTAATATAATTTAGAAAATTATTCTGATAATTACATAGAAGAGTTGTATATAAAATTAAATATAGAATACTGGCTATGTAATGACTAGCACGAATTACATTTTCATGGAGTCTTCCAAAAGCAATCCTACAGCATTTAATCTGAACTGAAAATTTAAACAAACAAGTACATATTTCTTCATCTGTAAACTAATACTTAAAAACTGTTTTACAATTTGTGCATTTAAATAGACTTTTTTGACTTGGGAGTTTCAAAATTCTCCAGAGCAAATTGTCAGTACAGGTGACCAGGGGTCCCTATATCTATTAAACTGAATGACCTGACAGTAAAACTCAGTTAAGGCTCTTGGCATTGGTGAAACTTCTTCCCACTCAGACCTGCTACTGTGGTAGACTTGAACTTCATCTGTGATTTCTTCTGGAGCATAATCACCACCTAGTATATAAATTTTGTCTTCTGTCCCAACTGCCCCTGCATTAAAGCCAGCACACTCAAAAGACCCTTCTCCTTTCCAAACACAGGTTTCTGGGCAAAAACTGTAAACCTTGTAGGTGGAGAGATCACATATGTACAATGTACAGTTCACTGGAACAGCTTTGATTAGAGTTGCATGGAAAAACTGCCCAAATTCTGCTACAAGCTCAGACCATTGATCAGTCACAGCATTATACTTAAAGAAACAGTCAAGGGATGGATTAAAGGCATCAGTAATCTCTACTTCTGAGCCAAGGACATAAATTATATTCTGGCATGCACTTGCTTCTGGATAGTAGATACCTCTTGGTAACTGGCTTACAGATTTCCAGTCTTTGGAAAGAGGGTTATAGGATTCTACATCCAAAAGACTCCGAGTTTCTTGAGCTCCTCTGGTCTTTCCACCTATTACAAAGAGCTGATTTAAGGTTACAACAGATGTGTGCATTGTCCTCGGTTTTTTCATAGCTGACACTATGGAGAATTCATTGCTGACTGGACAGTAGCACCAGGTTTGGTCAGTGGCATCATGAAACGGCTCAGCAATATGAAGCCTGACAGTTCTGTAGCAATTACCCTTGCATCCTCCAGTTATAAATATTTTTTCTCCATAGCTAGACAAACTTGACCCTGGCAGATCAATCATATGAGTATGTGGTAGCTCTTTCCATTTATCTGTTTTGATGTTGTAGCAGAATGTATGTCTGTTTTCTCCATCTTCATCAGTTTTATGAACAAATATGTATTTTTCTGTTGTTGAAGGACGTGCATCTGGAAACAATCCACTGAAGTTCTGCACACTTTGAACTGCATCATTGATTATTACCAAGCAATTAGCATTCTTAAGTAAATGTTCTTCAGAATGCAGAAAGTCTTGCAAAGTCTTTTCAGGTAACTGGTGTAATCTCACTTTTTTCATCAAATTAGGCAGGTATTTCTGCCGTGTTTCTAAGTTGTGTTTGGTCCATTGGAGGACAGCTTTCAACACTGATTCTTCCTCAGGGACATTTAGTTCATCAGCCTCGAGACATTTTTGTAATATCTCAAAATTCATCTCCAAGAAGTCACTTGATCTGAGCAGCAACGAAAAGTGGTGTTGTACATAATCTAGTGCATGATCAAACAAGCGGACAGACCCATAACTTTCTGATAGAGAAAGCAACTGTAAGCAATTCACAAGATCAATACTTTTTATTAGGAAGTCACTGCAAGCTTTGGAAAGGAGTGAAACTTGAAGAAATGATGACAGTTGGAAGAGCATTTCCACATTATCATTGGTTATCTCTGTTTTTCCTGTGTAAGCATAATCAAGAAAAGCTTTCACTGCCTTGGGTGATAGATTACTAATAGTAACATTGCCATCATCCCGTTCTTTCATATTAACTTCAAACATGGCTCTGTGAATAGAATACAGAAGATATACACACAAATTAAAGATTTAGCAAACAGATGAGAATGCTGATGTGGAAGGAGACAGTTAGGGACATGTAATAATGTGGGCTGGACTAAAATAGGTCTAAAATGTGGAAGTTCTTATATGAACAATTAATTTACTTGGTGTGTTTGAAAAAAAAAAGATTGGTGATAAGAACATATTCAAAGTGATGGCTTAACTAAATCATAGCAGCACCTGTGTTTTGTAAGGATTTTCACAAATGGTGATGAAATCTGCAGCTCTCAGTGTGACAGAAAATGTGAAAATTTTCAGGACAGCATCAGTTCCAACTTTGGGAAAGAAAGCCTGATTTAAAAAAATACATAGTAAAAAAGCCCCATGAGTTAGGTCATGCAATGTGGATGAGTACATAAAATTATGTGAAAAAAAAAACCCTTCCAAATTGCAGGCTGAGCAAATGGCCAGACAGATGATGTGTTTAGTCCTCAGAAATAAAAGTAGGTAAGGGATAAATGAGGAGAAAAAAACACAAGGAAACTTAATTCTTGCTTTAGAGTTGAAAGAGAGATGTATAAGTACAGGCCAATGTCAGAGAAAAAATGAGATTTTTATATGATTGCATGACACAATGAAACTGTGCAGAAAGTAGAACGTGACTGAATACAAAGATGATGGTTGAAATTGTGGAATGAACTACTGACCAGGAGATTTGTGGAAATTTTATTACAACTTTAACTGCTTTATTCTAACTATGTAATAACATTCAACTCTTTCACACAATCTAACATGGCAAGATAAAATAATTAAAGTTTTATAAGTGGGTAAGTGCTGGCAACAGAACAGTGCTGCAATATCTCTTGCCCTGCCCTCCCAGAAACTAAGCCTCAAGCTAGGATAGCAGTGGCTTCTGAATAAGACATAATATAATAGTGGAGGAAGAGTCAGATAAATCATCAAATGGGAAGTAGAAAATCTGGATATTAATACATCATAGTTAATTAATATTTTAAAAAAAGTCTTATATCATAGTTCAGTTATGCCACTTAGTATCTTTGTTGTATGGGATTTTTAAAATATCATCCTTTTCTGAAGCCAAAGAGGAAAAAAGCCATCTCTGTGTACAGCACATACTCTTTGGGATGTGAACATCTGGTAAAGCAGGAACTTGTCTGACTTCTCGAACAAGAACCTAAAATTACAATAAAACACCTGTGTCCCAAAGACCTCTTTGCATACTAAGGGATGACCCTTATAATTCTTTCATCATTAACCCATGAGCTATGAAATCTCTAATTAGGAAGTAAAATAGCAACTGAAGAATACTAGTAGAAGAGCAATGTAGGCAAAGGCTTTGACTCTGGAAGCTAACAAGTGAGGATCAAAATTTTGCTGATTCTTTGATTTACACAATGAAGCCAAAACTAAGAGAAGTCCAAAGGCCAAGGAAGACAAAAGGTGTTCCATTTCAAATGTATGTAGTGGACCTAGGTACTTTTTACTCCTTGAACATAAAAGATAGTCTTTGCATTCCAGGACACCTTTTGAATCTGATGGCTGCTATCATACGCCACATCAACCGTTAGGAGCAGGGAGAGATCTCTCCCGGCAGATTTTAATCTTAAGAGTCTGTAGGTTATGAAAAGGACACATGCATTTCCATGTGCTTAACTTCAGTTATAAAAATTACTACTGGAAGTTATTTCATCCTAGTATTTCTTCCTACCCGTTCATCTCGGTGCTGTCAAGCAGTTAAAGACAAATGAAAGTAGTCCTGTGTGTCAGGGAAAAAACCAAATCTGCTCCTACAGTGGAGCAAGTGCTCATTTCATCTGCATTTCTTCTTTTTTCAGTAACTCTAAGAACACATCTAGCTATCTTATGTCATATATGGCAGACTCACTTAGACCATGGGATCTTCCAGGACATTTGAAAATAACACTCACCTATGTAAGGGCAACCAAATTGAGGCTATTAACTCATTCCCAAGAGTCCATTTTTTCATTGTTAGAGTCTTAGCTTTGTTTTGAGTAAACTCTATTCAGAAACACTTCCAGTGTGGAACTGCAAGTTTGAAGTCTAAAAAGGTTAGCAAGTCTTATTTATATTAATATTCTGTATGTGAATGAAAGCTGTCCCTTAAAAATACATAGCTTTAGGCACAAGGAGGAAGATCCATTTCAAGCTGAAAGATTGAAATCTGTAGTTTAGGAAAAGTATGCATATCTGTTTAAATACCTCTGAAGCCAACCTCTACTATACTGACCACTCTTCCTGGACAAGCAAAAACTAGTTGCATTCCAAAATTATGTATAATTTATCCACAATTGCTCAGTACAAGATGTATTTGTAATCAATCTGTTACGTTTCACAATATAAATGTGTCAAAGTACACAGACTATCATATAAAAAGTCAAACAATATCCTTGCAGACCTTCAAGTACTGATACGGGCAACAGGTAACTCTTATAACCTGTGTCAGCTCAACCTAACAGCAGAACCACACATTTATAACTTGAAATTTGTATTTCAGAGTCTCCACTGCTGTCAGAATCTGATTCATAAAGTCTTCATGACTTTCTGAAAATACAAGGAGCTGTATCTGGCATACCCTTAAAATTATGTTTGAACGCTGTGCTCAAAACTCTGCAGATATATGTAAATTGTGGTAATTTTTAAACTTTTAAAAATCCTATTCTTCTCCTCCCTCCAAGAAAACTTAGAATCTATTTCCTGCAAACTCATGCCAAAATTAGGTTTACCTGAAAAAATCACTGCATGCAGCCAGTACACAACGATGACAGGGAATTATTTCATCTTTCACACGAATTTTAAAATCAAAAAATATATTTTGTTCTCTGAACTTTTGTAGTACTTTTAGAATTTGTTGTCCGTGACCTTCAGCCACTAAGGAATTGATTTTATTTTCAGGAACAGAAATTCCGTTGCAAATAGGTCTGCTAATGTAATCCCGTTGATTGGCCATGTTTTCTTCAATCTATTCCTGAAATGGAAAAATAAGTAATTGATTCTACAGTCTTATTAATTAAAAAAGCCAAACAAAATCAATACACCACAAAGAAGTTCCCAGCATTGAATTTAGTTTGTGTATCACATGCACAGTTAGAAATTTGTGTTACAAGTGACTTTTACACTCAATTTGACACTACTACTGTGTAAAATACATTCACATGGCAAATTTTGTAAAGTAAATTATCTGCCATATATCAGAGAACAATTCTTCAGATAATACCCACCTGTAGGAATTTTTTCAGTAAAGTCCACAGCACATCAAGGAGTGTGTTTAATTGTCATTTAAGAGAAAGACTAGTCCTAGGCTTACCCTCAAAAACCCCCAAATTCTTAAAATTTTATGTAAAATTAAGATAAAAAAGAAAACTTTGTTACATATTTTACATTCCAAAAGGCTGATCGCTCTACATCTTGTAGTGGAAGGGAGACACGGGCTATTAGAGTGCATCCTAAGTGGATTCCCATGAGGGACTCTGGACTGCAATAATGGAATACAAACAACACCAACAGCCTGGCTGAAAAACAGGATTGCTGGGACTTACCAAACACGGTCATGTAGAGACAGTTTGGTGACTGTACACCATCGAATGTTTAATCAATTGAAACTGATTTTGTCATGTACCTTTAGTCCAGTTAGGAAGTTTTATGTTTGCCCACTCTTGAGTTTCACTTACAGTGTCATAAATTAACTGGCTTTAGAACACATTTAAATTTCCATCTCCCTTTCAGCAGCCAAGTTTTTTTCTGGCAAAAATCCCTACACTGAAGTGTGCTTTTTTTCTATAGTAAATTGGTTTGAACTATTTTTTACAATGAAAATATTTTATTCCACTTAGTCAATATAAAGAAACTTTAAACATGAGTATATTTTATTTAGACCTATTTAAAGAGCTAGTTATATATTGCAGATGCATAAACTGCCCTTACTGCAAATCTGAGTCAAGACTGCCTATTTTAAAGCTTAAAGAAACATTCCAATTTTTTGTACTCCAGGATTTTGCTTCCTCAATTCCAGCTAAAATCAGCAACAGATAATGGCCCACTTGAATTCACAGGGGACAAAAAAATTCCGAACAAAACCCAGAAACAAGAAAATACTGGTTTTGCTTTTTAATTTTCTGAAAAGGCTTATCTGATGACATGATACATTCAAAGCAAACTAAACCATCAGGCAGTCTTCTTCATGTGAGTTACTTTCACAGCAGACTGATCTATACTTTATCTAGTCAGGTAGCTCCAACCACAAATAGACCTCCATGTCTCCTGGAAGAGAAGAGATCCAGTGATCTTGCTGCCAGCACTGGCACACTTGGAGCAGGCATCTTCTCCTTCCCATGGCCAGACAATCTCAACGTATTCACTCTTTCCATTCTAAGCCTGAGGAACTAGGAAAATACAGAAGAACAAGACCACCATTTATTCTGATAATGTATGGCCTCATAATCCCCAACTTCCATCAATCATAAACTTTTTTGTATGCCAGAATACTCTAGAATACCCTTTTCTTATGAATTTAAAAGCCTGCTCCTCAAAAGGCTGAATCTTCAAACCAGAGTCGCTTCAATAACATTATTTTCCCACATTTGAATGATACTTTTTTTAAAAAGTAAATTAATTTCAAAGTTTATTTGGCATCACATCAAATAATACTTCTTCAATACTAGACATCTTTCTCCACTTACATGTAATTTCTATAGCAAGCTCCAACCTACAGTGTGCTTTCTGATGACAAAATTACCAATTTCAGTCATACCTGTATTTGTATTATGAACATGGAAACATCTACTTTAATCAAGTCAAACTATGCTATTTTAGGCAAGACATCATATGATCACTTTCATACAAGCAATCAATTTTTCAGAAAGTTTTCTTTTAGCATGCTATTACCACAAAAACTCTATTCCAGTACATGGTGCAGAGACTGTAAACCTCTTAATTACACATCAATTTATTAATGGTTACATATATTTGTTCTTCTGTTAAAATTGTTATTTGACTTAATTTTCCTTTGTATATTTATTCATTCTTATAATTATCAAGAGTGTTGATATCCTCTCTCAACTGTCACTAGAATGAATAATTGTCAAACTTTCCAAGGTCCACTTGTTAAGGCTGAGTTTCTGGTTTTCCTTATTGCTTGCAGTTTTCTCTTTACTCTAGTTTGATCCTCAATTTCTTTCACTGATACAAGATTTGTTGTACAACATTATGGTTCAGACCTCATCACTGTCTCACTAGACCGATTTCCAAGTCATCTAGTGCATCCTAATCCTAATCTCTAATAGCAGTATCTCATTATTTTCTTAAAAGCACGATTAAAGAACATAGCAATGAACACTGTGCAACGACTTAGCTGAATTAACCCTTCTCTCCATTAAAAAAATACATATTAAAAAATTCAATTTCCAGATGTCTTGTAGTCAATTCCTGACTTACTTTATAATTTTGGTATTAACGCACCGCTTCACTGAATCTGTTGATGATTTTATAGCCCTCCAAAGTCTCTTAACAATTCAGATAAAACTTGGTATGTTAAACAAGGCATTTATAATTATTTCATGCATTCTTCTACAAAGCCATATTATCAGTAGGGGTTTTTATAAATATTTGATCAACTCTGACAAAAGGGTAAGAAATGTAGGGAGTGCAGATATATGTTGAAGAGGTCTGTAGTTCAGGAATACTGGGGAACACCCCTCCTTTTATTTGCTCCATAAACTCCCACAGGATTCCAATTACAAAGCCTGTCTTCATGTGGATTACCAAGAACCAAGCTCCAGTAAATGGTTCATTAGAACTGGGATCTCTTACTTTTGCTTTTTGAGACACATCTGTGTGCTGTTCAGCAACCAGCCTTGCAGCCTCTCTTGGAACATGACACAAAGTACTGTGGTACATGATCCAATCTCTCACCACCTGACAAAAACCTCCCTGCTCGTGTACTGGACCTTTACAATCTTACACTGGCAAATGCCCCGTTAGCTATTAGCCTGCTTTTCTGAAAAAAAAAAAAACAAAACCAAAAAAAAAACCAAAAAACAAAAACAACAAACCAACAACTGGCTGACAAAGACAACTGAAAACAATTCCAAAACTAAACTCCCCTAAAGTTAAAAGTTAAACATTTGCCGTGGCATGTCTCTATTGTAAGACACCTCAAACACAAGGCCAGTTGGCTGCTACAGTGAAAACTGGTACAAACTTCACAGTTATTAAGGTCAACCTCATATAACACGTGTGAGGAACATATATGTACCTCTCAAAACTATCTGTACAGGTCTCCAGTTGAGAGGCCAGGCATTCTGCATGCCTGACAGTCAAGTGGCAAGCAATGGCCAGTCTGTTTAGGGCCACAGAGCAGCCAGCAGTTGAACAGAAGGCTAGGGATAGTAAGTTACTTTTGGTCATTATGGTGGATGAAATAAGGGACCACCTGGGAGCTCAGAGGGTAAGAACATTCCTATGATCTGTCACAAAATCCAGTAATAAGAGGCCAGACCTCATTAGTTGTGCTGTTTATAAGACCCCTCTGTTGTAGAAGCATAGAGTGGTTTGGGTTGGAAGGGCCATTACGGATCAGCTAATTACAAGCCTTTGCCACTTTTAACACTGTCCTTTTCCCAAGACACTAAGGGAAGTGTCTTAGACACTAAGAGTAGTCTAAAACATAATGAGTTCATTGACCCAGATGCCAGGTAACCATACTGAGAACACTGATAAGACCATAGTCAAAATATGAGATATACACACGTTCCTCTTAGTATCTAAGCATTTGTAAAAACTACAAGAAAGTGTTTAACTGACCTTGATTCTATGCAAACAGCTGTCAAAACCTCACTGAATTTCTAGTGGAACTCTCCACTCCACCAATTCTAATGCTCCCTTTCCAAAGATATATGGAGGATGTAACATATTTATGATTTTCTTTTAGTTAGCACCATCAACAATCCTTCTTAAGTGTTCTTATAATTCTGGACCTAGAAGATACTGAAATGTGTATTTTCTTATACTTTTCCTTTGGGAAGTTCAAATTACCTTTAGACATGAATTTGATAATCTGGATATATGTTGAATCCTAGATATTATATTAGGAGACTATAAACACAGCATACTGTTAAACTCATAAAGGAGACCAAAAACATCCAGGACAGACATTTTCAGAACATACAGGCATACACTAAAATCATAACCACTGCAATACACCTCCTAAAAATTACTTTCACATCCATTCCACCAGATCTGAAACAGTAAAGCAAATAGAAGTGTGAAGTGACCTTTGGGCAGAGATGAACTTTTGTTTGTGCAGAATCTGTTGTTGTTCCTACCAAAGCAATGATGTGAACACACTCACATAATGTACATATATTAATAAACACTTTTGCTGAAAAGAGAGCCTTGGCTGCTACAACTGATAAATAAAATTGTTACAGAAGTTTAAATATGCTAATGAAGTTGAGAATGGTGGAAGATGTGCACTTATTTCTTGGTGAATAACCAAGGAAAAGATATCAAACTAGGGAGAGAATGTGTAATAACAGTGAAGCATGAACACCCAAATGAGGGTAGAGAAAGATAGTGGCAAAGACACCAAACTGTATGATCACTTTATAATAGTGAGATAAAAATATACATACAAATATGTGTGACTTTGAAATAGCCTAGGGAATTGTTTTGTGGAAGTACTGAGCACACATAAGTATCACACATAGCTCAGCTCCTGCTTAGCCAGGAAAAGCCCCTTAGGGCTGTTTCTGCCTGACAATAAACAGAACCAAACCCTTGGAATGGGACTGAGGCTCGAGACTGTACCCAGCACAACAGAGTGGCCATTCCAAAATAACAAGTAACACTCTGCAGGTAGATGTTCTCTCCTCTTCCAACGCAGCTGGCAAAAACAGTCTAAACTTAACCCTGATTTGGTACTTTATTATTTACAACCAATTGTAAAACAATCTATCTGCTTTTATCTTAAAGCACAATACAGATGTGCTACAGCACTCACCAATTAAAAAAAAATTAATCTTCATACTTCATAGCAGGTAACTTATGAGAAATAAATCGTGCTTTAATGGAACATTATGTTTATTACATGGCCTTCTTATGTCTTATGTCTTACTAGGGACCAGGATTTTAAAAAAGGGAAATCCAGGAGCTGTTTTACAGAACAATTTAGGTACCTAGGATGAAAGAATTAAGCACAATGAAGATGAAGAAATTGTATCAATTTCTGTAGAGAACTTTCAGGGTTTTTTTCCCATACAAAATTTAACGGTGCATTAATATATGTTTTGAAAAGGTCAAGATCAGCATTCTAAGATCTAATATTAAAAGTACTATATTATTGAGTCTACTATATACCCATCAAGATGATTTGCTATTCTCATTCCTTGTCCATTCAAAAGGAGAGAAATTAATGACTTGTTAATAAGTTTTAAAGACACCACTCTACACTATGCATCTAATTTAACATTCATTAAGGTGAGTATGAGTGGAACACATATCTGTAGGATTTGGTGACACTTCTAATTACTGACTAAAAAGACAAGGGTGGTTTAAAATGTAATTAAATTATAAATACTGAGTTCAAGTTCTGTGCTTTTATATTTCATTAATGTGTTGATTGTCACTGATTGCCTAAGATTGAAAACACTTAGAGAATTCCAAGTTCCTGCCTGGAAATTTCAATGCAACTGAGTCTCACAGGTTTTTCAAAAATAACTGAACTTAAGAGAAAAATAATATTCAGTCAATCATTTTAGGACAAGCAAAAAAAAATGCTCAGGATATTTTGAGACATTCAATCCACAAAAATGACATTTATCAATAATAGATGTTAAGATAGTATTCTCAGATTGAAAGGTGACACAGAATCTTTAAAGCTTTGTGTTCTTTAGAAGTGATTAAAAAAAAAAATCAACATGGAGAGAAACCTAGCATGGTATCAGTAGGAAGTAAGGAAATCGCAGTAATTCCTGGAGGCATTCCCAAAGTGGAAGATTCCCATTCTTCAAGCAGCGATCATTAAATGCATGTTCCCATAAAGATAAAACAGTAATCACTTAAAACAAGTAAAACTGGCTGGATTTTCTCTTAAAATTAAATTTCTGCAAATCATCAAGTTACTTTGCAAATTATTTCCTTAGCCAAAAAAGATCAAGAACTGTAATCTAAATTTTCAAGAAAAAAAAGGAATTAAAATGACACACTGTACTTCTGCTGAAAGTAACTGCAAATTTTGTAAAAGAAAATGACAGCTTTTAATGGTTTCTGCAGTCTGTCACTTTTGCATGTGAATAAAATGTGGGTTTTCTTCAAAACATGCATGCAATTTTGAGCATCTTTAGAGAATGATTTAGCATGCCTTATTATAAGAGCATGTTTTACTTAAAAGTGTGGGTTTATATTGAATGCATCCATAATTACATAACATATCATACAATGATACAAAAATCTTGAGTTTCAGTTTGCATTTACACACAAAGCTCATTTAAAAAAAATTAATCCACTAGTGAAAAAAGTGCTACATGTTTAAATCTCTTCAGTAGAGAGTATGGACAAGCTAAACATTTCAATCAAAGCAGAGGGTTTTTTTTGGAACTAGGCAAGATCCACAGTCCATCAGTATTATCATCTATCAGTAACTACATATATAAATGCCACAATTTTCTCTTCAAAGTGCAGAGAACACAAAGTTTGAAATGTAAGCCTCAGCTACAGTTTGATATTGGTGAAGAGCATTTTCCTGGGATTTTTTCTTGACTGTGTTAAATCCTCCTCTGCTGTCAGTTAACTTTGTCTATGGGTTTGCATAATGCGTAAGATTATGCCATTCCTTGCTTCATTAAATCATGGAGGAAAATAGGAATAATATTTTGAAGTAAGTCAAATACCCAACTGATTCCTTAATTAAACTTTTTTTTTATTCAATGTTATTTCTGTGTTTAAAATATTTTTAAAGACCAATCTATATTCAGCTATAACAGACTTATTGTGCACAAAAAGACCTTCTGGCCTGTGCAGAAACAGCAGTTTTCCATATTAACAGTGAGCTAGCAATGCTAAACAACAAAAAAGGAGGATTGCAATAAATACCTGCAATAATACAATTTTCAGCATTTTTGCATCATTCGTACATGGTCAATAGAGGATGGATTTTCATTGTGTATTTATAAAGGCAAGCAACAGAAAGATGGGGTTTAAATTTTCAAATAGGCGCTAGATTTTTAGCTATGGCTCAACTCTAGAACCAAAGGGCAAGCAAATTTATTACCTTCTGAGACTTATAGATAGTTTATAATTGACGAAAAATAGGAATCCTGTTGACAACTATTGGAATTCTTAACAGAAAAATGAGCACGGGATACAAGAGGCTTTTGTTTGCAAAGATCCTTTGGAGCCAGAACCCTGCTAGCGTAATGCAGCACTCCGCATCTGCTCTCGGGACTATCAGCTCCTCTTTATAGTCAATAAAAGGCAAACAGAGCCCAGCCCGCTGCGACAGCTCTGCCAGGGGCCCGAACGGCTCTGCGGCAGGTGGATGCGCTGAGGGCAGCACCTCAGCAGGATGCGCGGATGGCACAGATGGGCCGCGCATCACCTGGCCGCATCGCGGCGCGCTGCCACTACGAACCACCTCCCCCGGCCCCCCCTCGAGGGTATAATATAATCCCTCCCAGTGCCGCACAGAGCCGAGAGGGGCAGAACTTAGCGGGCATCTCCGTCCCCTGTGCCACGGCCAGGTCACGGGCCGCCCCTAGCCTCCCCAGGCCCAGCCCCGCAGCAGCGGCCGCCATCGCCCCGCCCCGCCCGCCGCGGGACGGCAGCGGCGCCGCGCCCCAACTGCGCATGCTCACGCGGCGCCCCGTTCATTCTAAGGGAGGACTAATTGTGACGGGCGGGCGGGATGGAGCAAAGGGATCCCCTTCCCTGACGGCGCGACCCGGCCGCGGCATGAGGCGCTCCCTCCCACTGCCGCCTCTCCGCAGGCGGCGAAGCGCTAGTCCCCCATGAGCGCTCCCTCCGAGCAGCGCACACCCACCTGCAGCCAACACCCGCAGCTCACCGACCGGTCTGGCCCACCCTCCGCAGCAGCCGCGCCGGCACATTGGCTCCTTCCGGCGTCATTCTCCTGCTCCGTGCACTCGGAATGGCCCCGCCGGCCGCCACTCCAGGTGAGAGCCCGCCCGTCTGTCCCCGCTGACGGCAGCGCGGGTGCCGCTCCGCCGCAGGCGCCGCCTTTCCCCTGATAGGCCGCTACCTGGCGCATTCCGCTGTCACTCACAGGGCGCTCTGACAGCGGATAGGTTGTTGTGCCCGGGGGCGGGGCCCTCCGTGCTTCCCGCACGCCGATAGGCTCCCGGCAGGGCGCAGGGAGCGCGGCCGGGCCATGGGCAGCGTGCGCTGGGCCTTCCCCTGCGGGGCATGGCGGCCCCGCCGGCCCGAGTGGCTGCTGGCCGCGCAGCTGGTGCAGCCCGAGGAGAAGGAGCGTATCGGCCAGTTCGTCTTTGCCCGCGATGCCAAAGCCGCCTTGGTACATAGGGAGCCGGGACGCGGTTGTCTCTCTGCACAGTCAGCGTTGCCCTGGTTCCTGATTTGCAGGAAAACATGCCATGCGAGGGTATTTCAGGGGTGTAAGGGTAGAGGATAAGGGCTGTATAAAAGTATGAAGCTCTGCCTCACTGAGAAGCCAAGAGGGACGGCAGGCTGCTGTCAGTAGCTACTCTGAAAGACTTCACAACTTCTAAGTCGTGATACCAAGTCAGGAGACAAAATCAGCGTACCCTGAGGGACTGTACATAGGACATCGGGGTAACGACTAGGAGAATAAAGCTGTTTTACAGGATCCAGGGTTTAAATATCGCTTAATAATACAGTGATACGTGCCTGCTAACTAGTCTGGAAGGAGTTACTCATCACTTTTAGGTCTTGAGTGTTTCATTTAGCACCTAGGTAGTGAATGGATGCACTGAAAGGAAGGTTATTGAGATAATGTTACTACTCGGGGTGGTGTAAAAAGTATTTTTTTGTGCCATAAAGTATCATAAATAAGTTACTAAGGTAGGAAGGAACTACTGTGATTTGTCTAGGCTGGGACTTGTGTTAATTGTGCTAATAGTGACAATGTATTTGATACTCTGATGGACTTTTCTTCTTAAACTTACTTGACACAGCTTTTACAAAAGGGAGAAATTTAAATTATTTTATTAAAATACATGACTTGATATCAACAGTAATAAACCAACATTTTTTGGACAGGTGATTTCTTAGCAACCACGTAGCACAATAGTTCTGTATTAATTATTTCCGTTTTATTTCATAGGCTGGTCGCCTGCTGATGAGGAAATTAATTGCAGAAGAGCTGTGCATACCTTGGAATGAAGTACACTTGCAAAGGACACCAAAAGGAAAACCTTTCCTGGCCAGTAACTTACTCAGCATCAACTCAAATTACAACTTCAATGTCTCTCATCAAGGAGATTATGCAGTCCTTGCAGCTGAGCCTGAGCTTCAAGTTGGCATTGATATTATGAAGACTGATTTACCAGGTAATTCGTTATGGTGACTAAAGCAGATTCTGCAGTGTTTGAGTACTGAACATTTTCACATTTCCCAAAGAACCAATCTGTGTCCTAGAAATTTAGTGTAATTAGAAGAGAGTGTAGGAATGTATTGTGTGTTTGGGATTTCTAGCTGTAAAATGCACTCCTCATTGTTTATTTTGGGATGCATTGTAGGACAGATATGGATATATTTCTCATTTTGCGAAGCAGAACCCTGGGAAAATAAAATCATTAACCATTCTATCATATGGGCACTACCAGCATCTGCAGATACTTTAATTATGGATTTGCTGTGTGTGAGGCAGAAGGAGGGACATCTTCCCAAACAGGGACAATGGGCTCCATCCCCATGAGAACTCCATAGACTGTGTTACTCAGTTATCCCATATGTATGTCCCACATTTTATGTGTCAGGCAACTGGCAAAACAGATTCACTGTGAATATGCTCTAATCCTCACTGAGAGGGGATCATGAGGAGGGAACATGTTATCAGCTTATTTATTTGCATGAAATGATTAGTGAACTAAAGGGTCAAAATTAGGATTGTAGCAAAGTGTATTTTTAAATACAGTTTTATGGAGATGATTTAGTTTTCAAGTGTTCACCAGAGCACAACTGGGTTAAAGGAGAAACATACTGGGACTTATGATTCACTGGAATTCTGTTTTTTTTTAGAATCATCCTTAAATGTTTAACCAGATATGACAGTAGTAGTTGTGTTCTTAGAGAATGTTTCTTCACAGTTTTTGGAGTTACCCAGCATCTTATGATGCAAAGTATGTTGTGTTGTAAGGGAGAGATTCAGGTAAACCCTGACTGGATAACTTTCTGTCTGATCACTTTATACCTTTTTAACAACAACTATAAGTGTACAGTTTTGGATTATCATGTTTAGCTAGGATGCACAGAAGTTTTACTGCAACCAGAAGTTCTTTCCTGTGACTCACACCTGCTGTAGATCCTCACTCTGAACACAGTGGTCAGTATGTGGGGCCACAGGACAACCTTAGGAGGGTCCTCCACCAGAGCTGTTGTGTGTTTTGTGACAGGAATATCATAGCTCTCTCATGCAAAGCAAGCAAGGTGATGTCCCAGCTGTGTCTCCTCACAGCATCTGGCACACCCTCCGCCTGTTTGCTGGGGGAGCAGAGTTACAGGGAAGGCCTTGATGCCGTGCAAACACTGCTGATACCAGTGTGGTATCAACACTGGGTTAGGCATAGACCTAAAACACAGCACTCCACAGGCTGCCATGGAAAAGGTAATACCTGGACCTAGTACCCTTGGAAACACTCTGGTTGGCCTGCCCCTGGCCTTACCACAGGACTCACGCATTTTAATTCCTCATTCCAAAACATTTCAAGTTTCAGTGGGTAAATAGTGAAAACCAAAACATTCAAGCACTTGTATTTGAAGCTTTTCTTTGGAACTGTAAAATTCAAATTTATACAGAAAAACCAAAAAATTTATATGTGGAAGTAGGGATATCTTACATCCCCTGCTGGTATTTTATGCAGGTGTAAATGTAGCTGGCATTTTAAAGGCATGTTGTCAATGTCTAGCTGACAAGTTTTATGAAGCATGTTAAACTTTATTTCTGAAGTCTAAAGACTTAAGTAATACTTTGAGATCTCATACAGTGTTTTTGGGAGATGCTGGTGATTCCAAAAACTGAACAGTGACAGGTGACTCATATGTCTTCCTTTTTGTAATTATAATTTGTATTTTTGGAAAAAGAAATAAGATACTAATGGAAATGTAATAATTTCATTTACCTTCAGCTCTTTTTTTGTTGCTGGGCTATGAATAGGTAACACAGACTTTAGCAGTATTATTTTCTCTGATAGTTCCACTGAGTGGTGCTCTTGTTCTGCACTTGCTAAGTACGTTATATTTCTGAAGGTGGACCCACTATAAATCTCTTTCCTTGGAACAGCTAGAAGGACAAAGAGTTCCCTATGAACAAAGTACATTTGAGTTGGTTTGTCTGTTTTCTTCAAGCACTTGTTTAAATACAGAGTTCTTCATCTTGTGATGTTCTCCAACAGCATCTTGATTGAGGTCTCTAGTATTGTAGCTCTTATATTCCTTTATTGTTCAACCAGTGAGCATGCAAAATCTGCAGTGTAGATATACAAGAGTATCATGCAGCTGAAAGTTTTGAGAAGTCTTGCCGTTTGTGTGCTACTATGTAACAAGGAGTCCTGGTGCACGTAAACATTTTATGTCACTTCTTCATCCATCCTATGTATTTTTGTTTTACTTTTTGTTTGTAAGATGCTGCCTCTTTCCATATTACTTGTGCTTCCTTATTAAAATCTGAGAAATGAAATTACTGCAAGATGTAGCCTTCTTTAAAGGTCATGCTAAAAGCTATTCTTACCACTGCAAAAAGCAGCAGTTCTATAGAAGTTCCATAGGTGTGCTACAGTTTATCACCTTTTTTCCTCTATTTAGATAATGAAGTAAATACTGTAGTGATGGTAGAAAAGGAAAATATCCTCTTCAGGTATTGTGTGTTGCTGCCTTTTGGTTATCTGGCAGGTTATTGTAGATTTAAATCAGTCTTTCAGTCTAATTATTTTTGAAGAATTACTGAGATCAATGATTATTTTTCTTCACTTTAGATCAGTTTAAGATGAACTCTTGAGTCATTTTGAAAAATGCACACTGTAAATTTGTTTGTCCTGTAAATTTGTTTGTAGAAGTGTCTGTGGACATTATTTGGCCAGGTAAAGCGTATGAATTTATTTTAAGCCTTTCAAAAAAGAAATGAGAAGGATTCTCACAGTACTGTTATCGCCTCTGAAAAAAACTGAGCTTGTGTTTGATTTTTTAGCTTATGGAAAAGAAATTCTTCAACAAGTGTTGACTTGGTTTGAGTGGTGTGTGGGATGTTGATTGACCAGTCACGTAAGCTCTGTAAAGTAGAATGTTTTCAGAGACTTAGGAAATAATTATAGCTTAATAAAGATTTCCTTGAGCATTTGAAAAAAGTTTAGATCTTAGGCTCAAGAGCTGCTGTGCAAGTGAATTTCTTTTCACTAATGCATTTTTTTAGCTTGAATGGATTTTCAAAGATAAATAACAGTTCATTCCATATCTTTGAAAATCATAATGAAATCTTTCTTACATATCCCACTATATTGACTTTGATCCAGGCGTCTCCAATCTCAATTTTATTCCAGAGTTAAACATTTGACATGCAGTAGAATTAGCTTTTCTCATTTATATTTGGTTTTATGCTGGCTTGCTTGCTAAAAAACACAAAAGGGTAAATTTTCTGCATGTGAATTTCACAGAAAAAGTAATTTGATCTAAAAATACTCAAGTAAATGCTTTTTTAAGAAAGTAAGCTATTATGTGCAAACACCTAATTATGTGAAACTAGTTTTCTCTGAGGCAAGGAAATATAAAAAGAACTTGGCTTATTTTTCTCTTTTTATTCTCATTATTGCATTATTGAGGTGAGGTAATGCAAGAGATGATAGAGTTCTTCAAATCAGAGACATGTCAAATGTCTATAGAAATCCCACATGAAGAAGCTAAATACCATACTTCAGTCC